AGTTTTGTCCTGACTCTCCTTTCTCTCTGCCAACCTGGCTCCATCTGTTTTAGCGCTGCGGAGCCAATGCAGCTGCAGGCGGAACACAGGAACTGCCAGACTGGATCAGAGCCAAGGGCCAGATATTTAGTGCAGTGTCCTGTCTCCAAGAGCGGCTGGTGTTTCAGAGGAAGGTGTAAGAACCCAGCAGTAGCAGATGTGGGATAATCTGCCCCCACATTAGGTCTCATCCTGCTCTCTCTAGGGAGGTTGGATTAAGCCCTGAAGCATGAAGCTTAATATCCAAGTGGGCTGTAGTCCACGAAAGCTTATGCTCTAATAAATTTGTTAGTCTCTAAGGTGCCACAAGTACTCCTGTTCTTTTTGCGGATACAGACTAACACGGCTGCTACTCTGAAACCTTTCCCACGTTTGTTAGCATAAGTATGATCACTCTGGCTGGTCTTGTTATCCCTATAAATAGCCACTCCCTTTTGGAATCTTGCTAATTTCATGCTCACAATTCAGTTTCACCATCCAACTGTGTGTGCTTGTGTGAAATAATATTTCCTTTTTTCCATTCTAAATTTTGTTGCCTTTTAATTTAATCCACTGTCCTCTGGGCCTTGTTTTATGAGACGGGAGAACAGACATTCCTGAACTACCTTCTCCAGACTGTTTGTTACAGGCAGGGCTGGTAGCCTCACGTGTTACAGTGGCCTGACACTTTCCAGGAGAAGACCCATCCCGGTTGCTTATAACTTTGCCAAACTATAATTTGAGCTGGAATTTTCCATGCTGGGTGTCTGCTTCCGGCAGAATTCTTTTGGAAAATGTCAGCCAAAACATTTTGACCATTTCGGAGAGCAAGACTAGGGGTGGATAGGTTGTTTTCCCTATTTTGGTAACCTTTTCTTTCAGATGCTCTCGTGCCTCCGTACTCTGGAGCAGGGACTTCACATTTGGCAGGAGGGTGACCTTTGTGCCTGGGGTGTGCCTCTTGCCATCCCCGTGAAAATCCATCCAAATCTGGCCAAGTTCTAAAACTGAAACAAATGCAATTTGCACAAGTTAGAGATTTGCTAGTTCTTAGCTAAAATCTCTGAAGAGGCCATCCACGCTGAGCAGGACTTTTCCTCCATTGTGGTTCCTGGCTGCTGTAGGCCGTGTTTGGTCCAGGTCTGGGCACAAGAACGGAGAGCAAGGAGCCTGTCTCCCTTCTGTGCTCCATGCTCCCCTTTGCTTTCAGCGCTCCCCCGGAAGGAACCAGGCAGCATGGAGGAGGAAGCTGCCTGAACCTAATGCAGAGAGGTCAGGAATTGGATCGAGAAGACAGTGGAGTAAATTGGGACAAAGAGCCTGAGGGGGGACTGAGACTGGAGGCCTGGGTAGAACAGGGAAACCGGGAGTTAGACTGGGACTGGCTGGGCAAGGAGATTGGGAGCCTGTGAGGTGAGAGGAGGGGAGGCAGATCTGAGGAGTATGCAGGTGCAGGGAGAGATCTGGCACTGGATAATAGAGACCGGAAGAAGGAGTTGAGTATATGAGGACACTGAGATTGGATGAGGATGGGGAATGTTGGCGTGTGGGAAACTGGAGGCCAGTGGGGAGGAGACAGATTGGATGAGGAGCTAGGAGTGGGGGGACTGGGACAGGGAGACAGTGGTGGGAGGGAGACTGAGATCAGATAGGGAGACTGGGACTGGGATGAGAATCTTGAGGAGTGGGGATTGGGACTGGAACAAGGAGCCGTGGTGGGGAAGATACAGGATGAGGACAGGGATGGGTTGGAGAGGATGGGACAGAAGGGGTCAAGCTTGGGGCAAATGGGCAGAAGTCTGTGCCCACTAGATTGCAATCCCCTTCTCGTAGTCCCCGACCTGGGTGTGGTAGATAGAGAGTACATTTCCCTTTCATTGGAGAGGTGACTGATCGTTGCCCAAGCACCAGGCCTCTGTCATCAATTCCAGCAACTGTCAGCACCTCAGTGATTGGGGCACTTGATGAAGTTTCACCCCACAATCGATGCAACCAAATTTAAGCCCCGTCCCAGCAGCTCAGGTGGAAGAGCAGGGCTGAGCAGTGAGGCCGTGGCTTAGGCTGTTCTGTAGTGCCTTCAAAAAGCTCTGTAACCGGAGCCACGCTGATGCTCTCCGGTTACTGGCCTGCCCTGTAACTATGTCACAGGAGCATGCAGCTACATACCCGCCTCCTGCATCTTTCATGAACTCCAGTGACTTGAGCCTGAGCCTTGCCTGTGCCACAGAGCCCCTCGTACTCTGGAGAAGAGCAGCTGAATTGGATCTGGGCCTAGAGCACTTGTTGCGGGGTGGATTGACTGGAAATCAAGGCCATTTAAATCACTATGTTAATCAGCTTTTCTATTTGTACTTCAGTTATTTTCTAAAGAGAGGTGCTTTCTCATTGGTTGACATAACCATTACAACGTCTGGATTTTACAATTAAATAAAGCTTTCCACTGGCTTTGGTACATTTTTTTGGTACCTAGGAGGGCTCAGTATAACTATACACATTTATTTAAGCAATGATCTAGATTAATATTTTCACATTCTTATTGTACATCTTTAGCATGTTAGAAAATGGTGAATGAGATATTGCTTATTTACTAGATAATCAGCTGTTTGGTCATAGATTGTGTCAAGCTGCATTAGGATGGCAACTGGAATTTAATGAAACCCACAAAACAGGATATAGCATTTAACCAAAACAACCTTAAATGTGTTGGGTACATAAAGCTCTCTTATCAAAACGTGGTCAGTTTTACACCTAAATAATTGACTAAACAGAGGGATTAACTGAAGTCAGTGAATTTCAGTTGTTTGCAGTGTTGTAGCCATGTTGGTCCCAGGATATGAGAGAGAGAGAAGAAGGTATGTGAGACAGTATCTTTTATTGGTCCAATTTGTGTTGGTGGAAGGTACATGCTTTCGAGCTACACAGAGCTCAGATTGGTCCAATAAAAGATGATCCCTCACCTACCTTGGCTCTTGGATTATTTCAGTTCAGCCTGGGACAATTTTCAAATATGCTTATGTGAAAGTGACTGGAGCTTAAGTTCCTAGTCTTGTCAAGTTTCTTGAAAAGGAGATGGTCTCTTGACTTTCTTACCATTGTGCCATATTTATAAAACTGGGCCTTAATAGTTACCCCCATCACCACCCTGGATTTGTTCTTTATTCAGAAAAGCAGCCTTTAACTCCCATGTTTTTGAGAGAGGCTCATGGATTCAGCATATTTCTTTTTTAGTTAAATGTTTTCCAGGGTTGTAATAAGTTTAGGCTTTAACATGTTTTGTTATTAAATTCAGATTTCATTTGAAACAGGTTTATTTTTAAAAAGAAAAAAACGTACTTAAATAACTCAAAAAAATCCCCCGAAAATCAGAAAAATCATCAGTCTGTATCCACCTGGCTTGTTGTTTCAAAGGACCGTTCCTAGCGGGCCGTGCGTGGGACGCTGGCCGCCCTGCTGGCCTTCAGTAGGATGCTCTTGCTTTGGCTTGGGGAGTCTGAGGAGCTCTTTCCTCCGCTGGGAGGAGCTCAGTGTTGTACAGCATGGTCCGCAGTCGAGGTGCTTGAGGGAGCTGTGGGGGATGACTGCACTGCTTGTTCCTAATCTCGTGCCATAAATGGCCCTGCCTGGAGCAGATCCTTGACCCGCGGAGCTATCTGAGATAGGACAGGAGCAGCAGGTGGTGGTGATGCGGGGTGCTGGGGGGCTGAAGGTGAAGGCAGTAAGATCATGTGGACACCAAGGTGACTGGTTCATATGGGTCCTTGGTGTTCCTATGTCCTGGAGAGGCTGGTCCCAGCTGCTCAGAGTTTTTTCTGTTGGGGGTTTATGGGGAAGCGAGACTGTTTTTGGTAGCAAAGAGAAGAAACTGGGTATTAGGGGGAGGGATAGCTCAGTGGTTTGAGCATTGGCCTGCTAAACCCAGGGTTGTGAGTTCAATCCTTGAGGGGGCCATTTAGGGATCTGGGGTAAAAATCTGTCTGGGAATTGGTCCTGTTTTGAGCAGGGGGTTGGACTAGATGACCTCCTGAGGTCCCGTCCAAGCCTGGTATTCTCTGAGGGACCTAGCATGGGAGCCCCTAGATTAGGTGCTTGGAATAGAGCCTTCCAAATTATAGGGCTCAGGCTGCACACGGCTCTTACTTTGGTTTTGTCTACACTAGGGCAGTTTGTGGGGCCTACCAGAGGAATTGCTCCACCAGAGGAATTGCTGGACAACAATGGAAGCTGTAGTGTAGACAATGCCCAGGGTTAGACAACATGCTGGTGAAACTGTCTGAGCCCCATTGCAATTTTCCATTCTCCTTCCTCCCCAGCAACTAGCCCTCTGTTAAGGTCACCTTTTTTACACCTATCTGTGGGGTTTTGTCACTTGCCCCTTCACCTTGTAATGCCCTCCTCACTTTGGCTTGTTAAGATCCCATGTTTCCTGGGCACGCTTGGCAGCCGCCCATGCTCTGAGATTCCTGCAGGGTGCTGTGCAGACAGGCTGTTTCTCATTTGGGCTGTCGTTGTCTGCAGGCGCACACAGCAGGGAGATTCAGGAACAGAGCCCAACGCACGCCCTCTCAAGAGAGCAGAGAGCAGGATGCGGGCCTCCGAAATACAAGATCCTCCTGCAACGTTAGCTGCAGCGTTGGCTTCGGAGGACAGTTCCCCCTGGCCTGGGCGCGAGGCACCAAGTACCTGTTGCTCACTGGGGCTGAGTGCAGAAGCAGGGTTGACAAATGGACTCTTTCCAGGTAAGCTGGCCCGTGCTATGTGGGGTCTGCACTGAAGGGAAGCTGACTCATTGGAATTACTGTCCCGTTAAAAGGCATCTGGGACTGTGGCCAGCAGCATCCAGTAATGCTAATAAACCTCGTTAGTTTCTGTTGGAGATGACTGTTGCATTCCTTCTGAAGGGCACAGAGTGGCCCAGGGGGTTAATACGTCAGCTGCAGACTCTGATCCTGGTGTATCTTGGACCACGAGTGCAGGTGAGATTCGGGCCCAGTCCAGTCCCTAGCAGTCACCCACCTGTCTCTCCGAACCACCTTGCCTGCTTGGCCCTGTGGCTTTACAGCAGCGGACACTAGCCAGCACAGGGCATTCCGTGTGTGTCTGTGTGGGGGTGGGGTGTATGTTCTTCTGGGGGCTTTGCTGAGGGGCACAAGGACAGGGAATTTCTAGATAGTGTTAGTGCATCCATGGTACATGCCAATACCCTGAGCTCTTCTGTGCAGACTGGGTACCAGCATAAACCTCATGAGCGCGGGGTCAAGTTACTGCCTTAGAAACCAGCCTCTCCCGGGAGGGGAGCCCAGGGCTCAGCCTTGCCTCTGCCCAGAATGAAAGCTTTCCGGCTCTGTCAGGCGCAGAGTGCGTACTAGCCAAAGTCCGACCCAAGGCCCGGCTAGCCCAGTGGTCAGCTCCAGCTGCTTCAGAGGGAGGTACAAGAACCCCACAGGACCAGTTCCAGGATGACCTGCCCCTCAATGGCCAGAGTTTGGCTTGTGCCCTGCAGCAGGGCGCTTTAGAGTCCTTGTGTAATCCTTGAGTTTCTCCAGTCCTTCTCCCTGGAGCTGGATATGCCCCGGAACCAAGTGGGAATCCACTGTAATATTTTTATGATGCTGGTGTGTGCCTCAGTTTCCCTCTGCACTTTGCATGGCTGCCTAGTGGAGGGAAAGGTATTGAGTCTGCTCTTGGGGCAGCACAGGACATGAGGGGTGGGTGTCCCCTTGCTGTCTGGGCCGCAGCCAATAGGACGAGTAAGGAACTGTCAGAAACTTGCTGTATCGATGCAGACCCCTGAAGAGACAATAGAAAGCCCCAGTGCCCCAAACCATTGACACCTTGGAAACAACGACTGAGGCTGAGCAGAGAGCAGCTCAAGAACAAAGGACTTCTGGAGGAAGCTGTCTCTGTCTCCTGAGACTCCTTCCAGCTCAGAGCAACAGAGCCGAAGCTGCAATCCCACTGTGCTGGCTTGGCCCTAATGGACTGTGCTAGCCCAAGGCCTTCCCGGCCTGTGTCCCCTGCTGTGCTTGGGGTCACTGCAAATACTTTCCTGGCTGTGTCAGTCCCTGAACAGCAAACGTGTCTCTGCTCCGGACCTGACTCGCAGGGCAGAGCTCGGGGTATGAAGCAGGAGGGCCAGAGGCTCAGGCTAGGAGACGGAGGAAGAGTGGGGCTCCTGGGGGGGGGAGGAGTCTGGCACACTGCAGGGGCCCCTCCAAGGGACCCTGGGGCATAGCACTGATTGAGGGGATCCAGGGCGGTTTGAATCCTGTGTGCTCTTTGATTCAAAGTGTTGGGCTCCCAGTCTGTTGGGCTGGGCCTGCAGCAACTTGCAATGTACCGAGCCCCGCCCCCAAAGAGCAATGCGGCAGTGACCCCTCTACCTGGCCAAGGAACATCATGGCCAGAATCCAGCTGGAGCCCTGGCCAGAGGGCTGGGTTGGTATCCTTGGGGCACCCAGAACTGTGATCTCCCATATAGCATCATTCTAGGGACCTGCCAGCAGCTGAGGATAGCTGTACTTGTCCGGGTAGGATCCCACACCTGCCTGATCCTGGGGGGTGTCTTGGAACCCCACAAAGGAAGGTGGCAGGGAGTTGGGGGGGTGTAGGAATTCCCTTCCTGATCCTACATCTGGCAGTCACCTCAGCCCTGAGCATATGAATTTCCAGCATGCTGTGTCCACTTCCCTTTGGCCCCTGAGCCTTTGGGCCTTGTCCTTTTCTCCTGCTATCCCATAGTGTGGCTTATGCTGGCACCTCCTATGGGGAATCCCAATGTGTACATGCCTGCCTGGGGGGGGGCAGCCATGCCACATGTGGGAGGTCAGTGTTTGATTAACAGCTGTGGAGAGCACTCTGTTCAAATAGCTCCAGCGCCACATCCACCCTGCAGGACATGCCCCCCTGGGAGCTTTACTCCAGGCTCTGCCAGAGCTTGGCTTAGTTAGCAGCTCTTCTCTGTGAGGTCAGGGCCCCAACGCCAGAGGCAGGCCCTGGTGGAAGAGTACGCCAGAGGCAGACAGCTGGCGGGGGAAAGGGAAACTGGGTTGGTACCATCAGGCTCTCATCATGACCATGTTATTTACAAGACTCTTCATGCAGCCTATTGGCCTTCCCACTCCTGCCCCTACATGTTCGCTGGGTACCAGGGATTTCCCCACCCAGCCTCCTCAGTCACTTGTTCACATACGACTGCCAGCTGTTCCTACGTCACTCTGCCCATGACCCGGCTCTGCCCCATCTGGCTGCTGATCTCAAAGCTCTTTATGACCTTCACGAATTTGCCTTTGCACCCCCTTACAAGTCTTTCAATTTTGTTCCATATTTACACATGGGGAAACTGAGGCATGGTATGAGTAAGGCTGGGATTTTCAAAGGAGTCCAAAGGAGTTGGGCACCTAATTCCCTTAGGCTTTTTTGAAAATCTCTGCCTGGGTGGCTTGCCCAAGATTGCAGTCAGTGACAGAGCCAGGGCTCTGGGCCAGAGTTTGTTCAAATGAGTGCATGGTCAGTGTGTGTGCACGGGTCCTGGGTCCAGTGGGCACAAATCAAACTCGGCACGTGCACCTTCCTTTGCAGTAACCAAGAGGGCAGCCGAGTTTGGTCGCTGTGAGAGTAGTGGAGTGAGCGAAAAGCTGGGACATGCAGTGAGTTACCTGCTGCAGCAACTGAACGGGCACGTCTCTGCCAGCCCTCGTGTGGGCATCTCCCTAGGCCACTGTGTGGTGTCATCCTGCTGCTCGGGAGCCAGGGCTTTGTAGGGCAGGACTGAGGGGGAATGGCTGGGCTGGGATAACCAAGGAGCCTGCAGGGCTGGCGAGCAGTGGAGGGGGAGAACAGGGATGGAATAGCCCCTCAGGGGGAGCAGAGCTGGAATGGCTGCAGGGGGCAGAGCTGTGGGTGGGGAACAGGGTTGGAATAGCTAGGGGACTGCAGGGCAGGAGCAGGGGGCATTGGCAGAGCTGGGGGGGAAATCAGGGCTGGGGATTGCAGCGGAGTATGGGGGGCGAATTAGGGGAGCGCTTGCGCAGCTGTGGGCATTGGTGGAAACTAGCCCTTCTCCCTGCACTAGGTCAGTGTAATTAGGCTGTGGGTTAGACAGGGTCACCAGCTAACGAGCGTTCAGCACTCCTCTGCCTCCCGCCTGTGTCCCATCCATGCAGTTTAGCTGCTGCTCCGTGCCCGCACCAGGTGAACGTCCGCTGCGCGGTAAGCACAGGCCAAGCCCACAGCATAGCAGTGTCCCCTTTATTTGCAGGGGTAATCGGTGGGAGGGAGCAGCAGCATCAGTTTGCCCTTTTAGCCCCAGGCCCAGAGCCCTGCGCTCCTTCTGCACTGGCCGCCCTTGGGCTCTCGGAGAAGAGACCCTGCCTCACGGAAGGAATGCAAGGCCTTGTTTTATAAGTCACTAGTGGAGCAGCCACAGGCAGGGCAGGGCCATGGGTCAGTGTAGGGAAGCTGAGATGGCTCTGGGGGGAGGACTCCTGCTAACCCAAGGCCAGAATCCAGCCACGCTGGGGGAATTGTGCTCTGGTGACAAAGCTACGGGCCTGGGGCTCCCAGGCTGCAGGCGATGGGAGTGATTCAGCAATGCCTGCCCAGCACCAGCCGGTGATGCCAAATCAAGAACATCTTCCAGGGTGGGGGAGGATCCCAGCTTGGGGATCGTGGGGGAATTCCATTTTGAGAGGGATGTCCCTGTGCCAGCATGGCAGTGGGGGGCGGGCGATGCCTGGGGAGACCCCATTCTGCCAGAGAGTGGCCATGGGGCAGGGTGACTGGCCCAAGGAAGGACACACCCTGTGGCTGCGCCAGCTGGAGAGCCCCATGTCTATAGCTAAGTGGGGCCCTTGCTGGGCATGTCATTGCTCTGCTGCTGCCAGGCTCCCAAGGGGGACATGGCTACGCCAACCCCTGTGTCTGGGGGCTGGGTCACCCCCATCTAGAACTGGCCCTGCCCCTGGGGAGGGTCATTGCAGCCAGCTAGAGGCCAGATCCCCCCAGTCCCTGATCTGGATTGGCAACACTGCGAGGCTGCAGCCCCAGGAATGGGACTATGGGAGTGCCAGGGGTTCTGTGGGACAGGGGTTCCTCTCCTCCAGGCCAGTGCAGAGACGTTCAGGTTGTCCTGTCGACTGGCTCCTTTCCCTCAGCCCACGCAGGGTGGGCTGCAGCTGCGCCGTCTCTGAAAGCAACGCAGGCAGGGGTTAGCCCAGCCCCGGGACTGCTGGGATGCCGTGGAGACGCTGGCGGAGCGGCTTCTGCTGAGAGGGGGAGAGGACAGTAGGGTCAGATGTACGCCATCCCCTCTGGGGCAGACCCCTGTGCTGCCAGCCTGCTGCTACCCAGCCTCTCCACACTTGCCCCCTTATGGTCTCTCTCCTGCACTCTCACAATCCCCTTTGCCCGCCTGCTGGGCTAGAAGAGGTGCCCCAAAATGCACCGGCCAGCTCACTAAGGGTCCTGCCAGGCGGGGCTGGCTCCAGGGCAAGGCTCCAGAGCAGCTGGGAGAGCCCCAGAGGGGTGCTCTTGTGGGCACCCATCTGTCCCACTCCAGGTACCCTGCCTACTTGGGGTTTGGCTCCAGGCAGGGGAAAGGCCTGGGCTGCAGCCTGCTCACAGCTGTTCTGGTGTCAACCCCCCAGGGTCCATGCAGTGACTGCCGCTGCGCACTCTGGGTCAGAGCAGAATCCAGCCCGAATGCACAATCCATGGCACCGCCAATGCTGTGCCCGAGAGGTATTTGCACCACATCACTCCCTGCTGTCCTGGCTCAGTTAGTGCAGAGTGAGGGCTGTTAACTGGCCCCTTCGCCTGCCATGCAGGGGCGGAGAACTTGCTGCTGCCAGGATCCACAGTGCCCCACAATCACCCTTCCTGCTTACCTCGGAGTGGGGGGGAGCTGGGCATCTTTAGCGTCCCGCAGTCTCAGCTGCCTCAAGACCCGGATGAGCTGGCTGATCTGGCGCAGGGTCATCTCCGGGGCCGGGCATGCCAGCCGCTGGCGCTGGCTGATCAAACACGGGGGGTTGGCAAAGAGAGAGAAGTAGCTGTTCCTTCCCAGCAGCTGCACTGCTTGCTTGTTCCCAGAGCAGGAGGCATACTGCAGGCAAGAGGAGGAGAGACCTCGGGTCAGCGCCAACCTGCTGCCAGCTATGCCACCTGGGGTCCGTGCCAGCCTGCTGCCAGCTATGCCACCTGGGGTCCATGCCAGCCTGCTGCCAGCTATGCCACCTGGGGTCCGTGCCAGCCTGCTGCCAGCTATGCCACCTGGGGTCCGTGCCAGCCTGCTGCCAGCTATGCCACCTGGGGTCCGTGCCAGCCTGCTGCCAGCTATGCTAGCGGGGCTGCATCTGCCAGTGCTGGGGCAAGGAGCAGCACTGTGCCATGGTGCAGTGTGGCCAGGCCAAGACACTCCCAACTCCATCCCCCCAGCGCTCTGTGGAGGATGTCCTGAGCACTGGGGTTAGGCTCCTGGGGTTATATTTCCCCTTGGGGACCTCGGGGTATGTCCCTGCTCTGTGCTTTGGTTCCCCCAGCCATGAAGTGGGGATGATGCCATGGTGGGGGAAGTTGATTTAGCTCATGAGTGTCTGGGCTGTGGTTTGCCTTCCTGTGGTGCAAGGCACGGGGGGCAGGGAACGTGCTGCTGTTTGGGAAATCGCCCATTGCAGGCGCAAGCAGCCAGATTCCCCAGTTTGCAAGGGTGGTCGTGGGCCCCAGTGAATGCTCCTTCAAAGGCCAAGCTTACACCAGTGCAGGTGGAGTTGAGCTAGTGGGAGTGCCAGCTGGGATATAGCCCAGCGTTCGTACCTCGGGTTATACCTAGGCCGATGGGCCAGGGCGTGGCTTGCCAGGTGAGAAGCTGTGTGAACAGCCCCTTCCAGCTGCTGGAACATCGGTTCAGGCTTAAGCAAGTTGAATGAAAAGCATTAACACCAAGCAGCCGTGTGCCTGCATCCTGGACCGTTACCGGACCCAAGTGAATTGTTCCCAGTGGTCTCCTGCTTGGGGTGGCTGGCCCTGCTGTTGGCACCTGGGGCTGCCATTCCCTCTCCACACCCTGGTCAGGGTAGCTGTGCACAGCTCTGTAGTGCAACCCGCAGCCTTCGTGATGCCTGTCATCAGAGGAGGGGTACAAGTTAGTTCTTTTGGGTTTTGGGGGGGGGGGAGGGGAGTTACATAACAAGGGAGATGGAGCAGCGTGTGCAGGGAGAAAGGCACAACACTGGAGTCAAAGCAGGAGACTGGGAAGAAGGAACAATATTCTTCAGAGCTCAGCCTCTAGAACTGGTTTCATCACCTGGGACTGGGCAGAAAAACCCTGCCATGGCTGCAGGTCATAAAAAAGACCCTTGTTAGGAATATTTTCAAGAAATGCCAGTACACCTGGGTCAAAAAGGAACACATGGCCAATGCAAACAGGGCATCCAAGAGTTCCAAGGCCTGGTGGCCAGAATGAAACAACATTCTGAACAATGCACCTCCGAAGGCAATGACTTCACAGATGGTGATGTGGGCATGTCTGAATAATCTGGCTCAGCTTGTTAGTAATCTTATTTTGGCACTATTCTTACAGACGGCCCACCATGGCTTTCCACGCAAGTAAATGATCACTTCACTGATTGGCGTCAATTTGTGGTTTGGGAGGATTGCTCATGAATTTTGAACTGTTTGTGTACAAAATATAATTGGCAGGCTAGTTTGCTGTGGGAGTACAGGAACTCCTCACTTAAAGTCATCCCAGTTAACGTTGTTTCGATGTTAAGTTGCTGATCAATTAGGGACCATGTTCATCTAAAGTTGTGAAATGCTCCCTTCTAACGTCGTTTGGCAGCCTCCTGTTTTGTCGTTTGGCAGCCGCCTGTTTTGTCCACTGCTTGCAGGAAGAGCAGCCCATTGCAGCTAGCTGGTGGGTGGTTGGAACCAGGTGGACAAACAGCCCCCCATCAGCTCCCCACTCCCCTAAGTTCCCTGTGTAGCAGCTGTCCCTCCCCCCACTGCCATGTGCTGCTCCTCCCCTCTGCCTTGGAGCTGCTCCCAGAGACTCCTGCTTGCTGTACGGGGAGAGGGGGGGAAAAGGGGCTAATGTCAGGGTGTCTCCCCCCTGCTCCTGCACCCTGCTTACCCCTATCTTCCATAGAGCAGGGGGGACACACGATGGAGGAAGGGAGCTTCTAGGCAGTAGCTGCGATCTCAGGTCTCAGCAAGCTGATTTAATTAACAAGGCAGTGTACTTAAGCCTGGGGTTAGCTACTTAAAGAGGAAATGCGCATTTTTTCTCTCACACACAGGGAGTGTGTCTCTGTCTGCCCTCCCTCCTTTCCTGCTGCCTGTAGAGTGTTGTGAGAGTTAACCCTTGAGGGCTCAGTCAATTGCTAGTTCATTTAGCAGTAAGGCATTCCCTGCGAAATATCCCACCCTCTGACTCCTCCACTCAACCAAGCTTCAGAATCATCATCACTGTGTACCAGTATTCAATTGTTTGTTTAAAACTTATACTGCGTGTGTGTATTCATTATATAGTATTTTGTCTGGTGAAAAAAATTTCCCTGGAACCTAACCCCCTCATTTACATTAATTCTTATAGGGAAATTGGATTCGCTTAACATCGTTTCGCTTAAAGTCGCATTTTTCAGGAACATAACTACAACGTTAAGTGAGGAGTTCCTGTATTTATCCATTACATTTTTACTCTTCCTGCTGGACTTCTGAAATTATTTTTTATTGCTTAATATAATCAGATCTCCTACATGTAGATTTCCAATTTAAAAGTAAAGCTTTATTAGGCATTTATGAATTTTAACATTTAAAAAAAATCAAGCTGTTTGGTATATTGCTAGTGACAAGGTTTTAAATAGTTGTAGATAACCCTTACGATGTATTAATTATTTTCCTCTAAAACTGGGTTTAGAATAAATTATATTATTTAAACAGTGGAAGAATAGAAGGGATCTCTCATCAGTTTTATAATCTCATTATTTTCAAGCAGCGCACTGAGTAATACTCAGTGAGAGAATGACTTTTTTTACTATTTTGTTTCAGTGGCCAGCTTAGACATAAGGATCCATGAACATCCATCATCTGCAATTCCTACAACTTCAGAGTGATCGGCTGGTCCCACCCGCAGTGCTGCAACTAAACATACGTCAGATGGTAAATTACCTGGATAATAAAAAGACTTTCTTCATCATCCAATAAAACCAGGGATGAGTTTGTAATGCGAACCAACCAATTCCAGCTAGACTCACAGATGAAAAGATTGCTCGGTTCATTTAAACAACTAATTCTCCCTTTTGTCTTGTTCAGAGCAAACATTTCATGGACATGGTTCTCATTATAACCAGACTACACTCCACCCAGCAGAGCAGACATTGCTGGGAGGTTGCTGGTATAATATATGAGAAGGAAATTAAACAATGTGCAAAAAACATTGACAGAAAATTCATTAATTTGAGTCTTGATGGGTGGAGCAATGTACACAGTGATCCAGTAATATGTGCTGGTGTGACAACAGAAGATGGGGTTGTATCTTACAAAAACAATTGATATATCAGGAAATGCCCATATAGCAGAATACTTAAAAGAAGTAGCAGTAAAAACTCTAATAGGGTATGAACAAAAATTCAAGTGTCAGCTGTGTAACTTTGTCACAGTATTGCAAATGGAGCAAAGAAGAGAAGAAATCTAGAAGAAGATAATGAAGGGCATCTGAAACTTATAACATGGGCACTGGGCTCATTTGACATACGTTTTAGCCCAAGACTTAAGTACAGCTCCAAGAATAAAGGAAAATGTTGTTGAAATTGCAAAATCCATCTAACAACCACTTTGCTTCAGCTTCCCTGAAGAGAGCCGGAGGGTCCAAACCAATTCTCCCCCACGATGAACGATGGCATCTTCGGAGCTGTTTATTAAGAATTGGCCTATGCTGATGACAATTTTTGAAGAAACAATTGCAGCCAAAATAGACAACATCGGACTAAAGAGAAATGTAGACGACATGCTAAATATCCTGAGCCCTAGTTCCATAGCCTCGGACAAACTGCAGACGGACCACTGCTGCTTGGCTTATGCCCTTGAAATTCGGAAGGTGCTTCAAGAGAACTTGAAGAAAGAAAGACCCACCAACAAAGTCAAATTGCAGGCAGTAAAGAAGCAGATGGATCAAGCACTTTCTCCACCTCATTTTCTTGCCAATATTCTAGATGCCTAACTGCTGAAGAAGATGCTGCTATGAAATGGACATCTAATAATCACCTGTCAATCAGGCCATCAGTAAATTTCAGGGTGGGGAAGGATCAGTCAAGTAGTACATGTTTGCTGATAAGAACATAGGCAGGGCCATACTGAATCAGACCAATGGTCCATCTAGCCCAGTATCCTGTCTTGTGACAGTGGCTGGCGCCAGATGCTTCAGAGGGAATGTACAGAACAGGGCAATTATTGAGTGAGCCATCTGCTGTCATCCACTTCCAGCTTCTGGCAGGCTGGTGATGCTCTAAAGAAAGTTAGTGGTGGAAGGCACTAGCTGGAGCCAGAGCTTGTTGAAGGGCTAAACCATCTTTTGACAGCAATAGCTTCTTCTTCAGGCACAGAAAGAATATTTTCTTCATTTGAATTAATTCAGTTAAAGCTAAGAAATTGGTTGGCAGTTGAAAAAGTTGGGGATCTCGTCTTTCTCTTCCAGTCATGGAATAAAAACAAAGAGGGAAGGGATGAGATCTACTAGTTTTAAAAGTTTGAAGGACAGCCTGAGTAATGTAGGAGACTATTGTCTCATTTTCAAGAGATTTAGGCAGGGTGGGAACTTAAGCTCCAGTCACTTTCACTTAGGCATATCTAAAAATGTTCCCAGGCTGACCTGAAATAATCAGTTTAAATCTCTGACTACAGTTAAATGCTCTGTTTAATAAATCATTTAGTTGTAAATGTGAAACGTGTTTTGGTCAGAGAAGTTTACGTATCTCAAACATTTTAGGTTGTTTTGTTTAATAAAAACATATTGTATATGCTGTTTTGTGTGTTTAATTAAATTCCAGTTACCATTCTAATGCAGCTTCACACAAATCATGAGCAAAACGTTCTTTAGTGAGTAAATAAGGAATATCTCATTTGTCATTTCCTAGCATACCAAGAATGTTCAGTTAATGAAAATCGGAAAATATTAAGCTATATAATTGCTTAAATAAATGTGTACAGTTATAGTGCACCCTCCTAGCTAGCCAAAAGCTGTACCAAATCTTAGTTGTAAATCAAGTTGTTTTAATGGCTATATCAATCAATGAGAATGCACCTTTCTGTAGAAAATAACTGAAGTGCAAATGGAAAAGTTGATTAAAATGGACGATTTAAATCGAGGCTTTCTGCTTGGTGATTTAAATCAACCTACCCTAGCTTGCACTCTGGGCACAGTGGGATCTGCTGCCCCATTCAGCTAGTGCCTGGTTTTTCTCTTTGCAGGAAGAAGGGGTGAAAAGGGAGATCCAAAGGTTCTCCAGGTTGCCCGTGGGTCTTTTTCCCCAGGCCAAGGAGCAAGCTGTAATTGACAGACAGGCCCAGCAGGGGGCAGGCCTCAGCCCCAAGCCCATGGCAGCCATGTCTCTGTCACAGAACATTACTGTGTCTGAACAGGATTGTGCGTGCTCGAGGGAGCTGACGTGTGCTGAGTGGGCGGCATAGCCCAGGGCAAGCTGTATTCAGAGTGCTGCCAGCCAACCAGGATCAAACCGTGCTGGGAGCATGGTTTAATCACCACTGCCTGATACGATGCTGAGCTTGACGTGCCTACAATAGCTGAGTACCAGGGACACGGCCCAAGATCATGTGACTCACCCATGCAGTGTAGACATACCCTGAACCACCCAGTGGTTTCAGAATCCATGAGCATGGTGATCTAGCTCTGGTGGGGGAGGCTCATCATCTGGGAGAAGGGTCGGAATGTGGGGGGAGCATGGGCTGTTATAGCAGGGATAAGTGAGAGACAAGACAGAACTGGTGGGGGGGGAATCAAATCAGTATCTTAAATGTCTGTACACTAATGCAAAAAGTATGGGGAATAAGCAGGAAGAACTCAAAATGCTAGTAAATAACACAACTATGACATAGTTGGCATCAGAGAGAGTTGGTGGGATAATACGCATGACTGGAATATTGGTATAGAAGGGTACAGCTTGCTCAGGAAGGACCGGCAGGGAAAAAGAGGAGGAGGTGTTGCCTTATATATTAAAAATGTATACACTTGGACTGCGGTTGAGATGGAAATAGGAGACAGACTTGTTGAAAGTCTCTGGGTAAGGATAAAAGGGGTAAAAAGTAAGGGTGATGTCATGGTAAAGGTCTGCTATAGACCACCTAACCTGGAAGAAGAGGTGGATGAGGCTTTTTTTAAACACCTGACAAAATCATCCAAAGCACAGGACTTGGTGGTGATGGGGGAATTCAACACCCCAGAGATCTGTTGGGAAAATAAAACAGCAGGGCATAGATTATCCAACAAGTCCTGGGAATGTATTGGAGACAATTTTCTATTTCAGAAGGTGGAGAAAGCTACTGGGGAAGGTTGTTTTAGATTTGATTTTGACAAATAGGGAGGAACTGATTGAGAATTTGAAAGTGGAAGGCAACTTGGGTGAAAGTGGTCATAAAATGGTAGAGTTCATGATTCTAAGAAATGGTAGGCGGGAAAACAGCACAATAAAGACAATGGATTTCAAGACGGCGACTTTAGCAAGCTCAGGGAGTTGGTAGGTAAGATCCCATGAGAAGCAAGTCTAAGGGGAAAAACAATTGAAGACAATTGGCAGTTTTTCAAAGAGACATTATTAAGGGCACAAGAGCAAACTATCTCACTGCATAGGAAAGATAGGAAGTCTGGCAAGCGACACCCTGGCTTAATCAGGAGATCTTCAATGATCTAAAAATCAAAAAAGAGTCCTACAAAAAGTGGAAATTAGGTCAAATTACAAAGGATGAATATAAACAAATAACACAAGTATGTTGGGACAAAATTAGAAAGGCCAACGCACAAAACAAGATCAAACTAGCTAGAGACATGAAGGGTAACAAAAAAACATTCTACAAATACATTAGAAGCAAGAGGAAGACCAAGGACAGATTAGGCCCATTACTCAATGAGGGGGGGAAAACAATTACAGAAAATGTGAAAATGGCAGAGGTGCTTAATGACTTCAGTGTTTCGATTTTCACGAAGAAGGTTGGTGGTGATTGGACGTCTAACATAGTGAATGCCAGTGAAAATGAGGTAGGATCAGAGGCTAAAATAGGGAAAGAACAAGTTAAAAATTACTTAGACAAGTTAGATGTCTTCAAGTAACCAGGGCCTGATGAAATACATCCTAGAATACTGAAGGAGCTGACTGAGGAGATATCTGAACCATTAGCGATTATCTTTGAAAAGCCATGAAAGATGGGAGAGATTCCAGAAGACTGGAAAAGGGCAATTATAATGCCAACTGTAAAAAGGGAAATAAGGACAACCTGGGGAATTAGAGACCAGTCATCTTAACTTCTGTACCCAGAAAGATAATGGAGCAAATCACTAAGCAATCAATTTGCAAACATTTAGAAGATAATAAGGTGATAAGTAACAGTCAGCATGGTTTCAGAGTAGCAGCCGTGTTAGTCTGTATCCGCAAAAAGAACAGGAAGTACTTGTGGCACCTTAGAGACTAACAAATTTATGGGCTGTAGTCCACGAAAGCTTATGCTCTAATAAATTTGTTAGTCTCTAAGGTGCCACAAGTACTCCTGTTCTTTTTAGTCAGCATGGATTTGTCAAGAACAAATCTTGTCAAACCAACCTTGTGGATGGGGGGAAGTGGTATATCTTGACTTAAGTAAAGCTTTTGATACCGTCCCGCATGACCTTCTCATAAACAAACTAGGGAAATGCAACCTAGATGGAGCTACTATAAGGTGGGTGCATAACTGGTTGGAAAATCGTTCCCAGAGAGTGGCTCAGAGTCATGCTGGAAGGGCATAATGAGTGTGGTCCTGCAGGGATCAGTTCTGGATCCAGTTCTGTTCAATATCTTCATTAATGATTTAGATAATGGCATAGAGTACACTTACAAAGTTTGCGGACGATACCAAGCTGGGCGGGGTTGCAAGTGCTTTGGAAGATAGGATTAAAATTCAAAATGATCTGGACAAACTGGAGAAATGGCCTGAAGTAAATAGGATGAAATTCAATAAGGAGAAATGCAAAGTACTTCACTTAGGAAGGAACAATCAATTGCACACATACAAAATGGAAGTGACTGTCTAGGAAGGAGTACTGCAAAAAGGGATCTGGGGGTTATAGTGGACCACAAGCTAAATATGAGTCAACAGTGGAACGCTGTTGCAAAAAAACCAAACATCATTCTGGGATGTATTAGCAGGAGTGTTGTAAGCAAGACATGAGAAGTAATTCTTCCGCTGTACTCCACGCTGATTAGGCCTCAACTGGAGTATTATGTCCAGTTCTGGGTGCCACATTTCAGAAAAGATGTGGACAAATTGGAGAAAGTCCAGAGAAGAGCAACAAAAATGATTAAAGGTCTAGAAAATATGACCTATGAGGGAAGATTGAAAAAAGAAGGTTTGTTTAGTCTGGAGAAGAGAAGACTGAAGGGGGACATGATAACAGTTTTCAAGTAGATAAAAAGTTGTTACAAGGAGGAGGGAGAAAATTTGTTCTTCTTAATTTCTGAGGATAGGACAAGAAGCAATGGGCTTACATTGTAGCAAGGACGGTTTAGCCTGGACATTAGGAAAAACTTCCTGTCAGGGTGGTTAAGCACTGGAATAAGTTGCCTGGGGAGGTTGTGGAATCTCCATCATTGGAGATTTTTAAAAACAGGTTGGACAAACACCTGCCAGGGATGGTCTAGATAATACTTAGTCCTGCCATGAGTGTAGGGGACTGGCCTAGATGACCTCTCGAGGTTCCTTCCAGTCCTGTGATTCTATGATTCTTAAAGCAAGAGGTCCCAGGATCAATCCCTGCTCCCAGGGGGCATTACTAGTCTCAAACTGACTGCTCGAGCCCCAAGTAAGGATGCAGAAAGTCCTCCTCCTGGACAGTGTGGGAAGATGAGACAGGGCTAGTGACAGTTCCCTCTTCTGCAGCCTACCCCTTTCTCTTCTGGCCTGATATGCTCCTTGCACCTGAATCTTATTGAAGGCATGAAAGGAAAAACAAAGGGTGCACAGGCTGACAAAGGAAAGGGAGCCTATAGCCCACATGGAGGGACTTTCCCAGCACCAATCTGCTCAGCCCTCCCCTGCCACCCTTTCTTCGGTCACAAAACCCTTCAGCCAGCCCCACGCCCCTGCTCCAGTTGTGCAGAAGCTGCCCAGCCCAGGGGCTAGTCCTTTACCTGTACAGGCCTAACTTATGCTCGGAAGTATATTCAGTGCTGGGCAGTGGAGTCTGGAAGGCAGGTGGGGCTGGGCATGACCATCTCAGTGTTGAGACACACAAAGGTGGGTTACTTCAATAACAGCACTCATAGATGAATCAGGTGTTCAAAGGGTGTGGCCTCCATCCAAGGGAGGGGAGGAAGAAAGGCTGCGATTCCCAACCCACCGAGAGGCTTTGGACGTCCGATTCTTGTTAACGTCAATTGGAATGGTGTGCCCCATTCCCCCGAGGTGGCTTTATGCTCACAGCAGGCCCACGGGTCTGGCTCTAACCAGTGACTCCTTTTGGTCTGGAATAACCCAGTCCCCTCTTATGACACCTTTTGGTCAAGGGCTTCTCAGCCATTCACGAGTGACAGCTGGGGCTCCCAAAGTGGCTGGAGTGAGGGAGGTGCCCAAAGCCCAGTGGAATTCAATGGAAGTTGGTGCGTAACTCCCTTTGGAGCCCCCAGCTCAATACCACACCTCTCTCCATTGCATTATCTCCATTTTCCAGCAAGGCCTGAGGCCGAGAGCAACGCAGGTTGCATCATAAGTTGGGCAGAGATGGGAGTGGGACCCAGGCGTTCCGGCTCCTACTTGCCTG